CCCCCCCCCGCAATGAAAAGAACATCCTGGCACTGTGAGATGCTCTAGGCAATTTTATATGAGACTAACTGAGGTCCTGATTAGTTGGCCAGGGCATAAGTTAACTTTTGTTTCTTTGAGATGGGGTCTCTCTGTGTAGCCATGGCTATCCTGGCTCTCACTCTGTAGAGCAGGCTGTCCTGGATCTCACTCTGTACCTCTGTAACTCAGGCTGACCTCGAACTCACAGATCTGCCTGTCCTGCCTTCAAAGTGCTGGGATTAAAGTCATGTGCCACCATGTCCAACTAATATCAATTTTTTTTGAGTGTAGCGCTGGCTGTCCTGGAACTTACTGTGTAGACAGGGCTGGACTTGAATTCAGAGATCTGCCTGCCTCTGCCTCCCAAGTTCTTGGATTTAAGGCCACCACATCGCTGACAATTTTTTGAGATAATCAAATGTTTCTAACTTGTGGAAAACCATAAGGCTCAGTATCTGAGAAGCTCAATGAATGCCAAGGACAAAAAACATGAAGAGCCAAGAATGTACCTATCACCTGGCCACTCAGGCACTGAGGCAGGATTCTGAGTTCAATGCCAGTTTGAGCTTGACAGAGAGACCCTGTCTGAAAAAGAAGACATCCATATCAAGAGACACAGTGGATGTCACCATTAAATTGCATCAATAAAAACAAGCAAAGGAAAAGAAAATCCCAGAGCCTTGTGTGGGGTCATACTTGTATCCTGCACTCAGGGGGCTGAGTCAGGAAGACAGAGGGACTGAGGCCAGCTTCTACTCCATAGTGAGATACTGTCTAAAGTAAAAGAAGAAAAGAAAGAAAAAGGAGATAAAAGTCCCAGGAACAGCCATAAGCAAAAGGTCACATTATGTGGAAGAGCTGTGAGGAAGACAGCAGGCTTCCCCACAGGAGCAAGCCTTGTAAAAAGCGACATCTTCAAAGAAACGAAAGACTGTCCACCTCAGACTTCGGACCCAGTGCAAACATATCATGAAGACAAGGACAAACAAACAAAGTTGACATTTAAAAAGATGAAAGAACTCATCACCTGTAGACTTGAATTTAAGAAAAATTAAAGTGCGTCTTTAAAATTGAGGGCAAAGGGCAGCAGATGCAGACAGAGTGCCAGCGCACCAGGAGGAGTGCTGGAGCCCGAGTGCGCACCAGGAGGAGTGCTGGAGACTGAGTGCACACCAGGAGGGGTGCTGGAGCCCGAGTGTGCACCAGGATAAGTGCTGGAGCCCCAGTGCACACCAGGAGGAGTGCTGGAGCCCGAGAGCGCACCAGGAGGAGTGCTGGAGCCCGAGTGCGCACCAGGAGGAGTGCTGGAGACTGAGTGCACATCAGGAGGGGTGCTGGAGCCCGAGTGCTGGAGCCCCAGTGCACACCAGGAGGGGTGCTGGAGCCCGATTGCACACAGGGAAATGCATTTCTTCCCTTTTTTAAGTGTCTTTGGAAAGTAATGAAAGGACTGGCACTTAACCCCACATGACAGGTGTAAAGCCCGCTTGTGAGGAGAAAGCTGAAAACCCGACAAAGGCTACAGGGGAACTCGGAGGTGTACCCCTGAGGGGTTCTGATACAAAGCAGCATAAACGTGATGGCACATAGCGGACTCCATATCACGAATACTGGTTTACACAGCTTCATAATAACCTAGATTATTAATACACAGATTAGGATGAGTAGAACCAGGCCAAGGTCAAACCTCTCAAAGCAGTAGTAAACAGGAAACTTTCACTGTCCAACTGTTAACTTCTAACGGGTCAGAAAGCGACAGGACCTGGACTCAGGCTAGCCTCCTGCTCTCATCAATCAGTTTGACTGAACCAAGACCGTTCACTTGTGTATCATCTACCAGGTTCCTATGGATGGGAGAGCAGTGTCAAAACAAGCACACAAAGGGAGGTGGGCAGGGGAGGGGAGAAGATCTTGGAAACAAGGACACAAAGGGAGGTGGGCAGGGGAGGGGAGAAGATCTCGGAGGACTTGGGTGGTGAATATGATCAAAATACCTTGTATGAAGTTCTCTAAGAATTCATAAAATAAAAACGGAAGGCTGAGAGCCTGGAATGTTCACCACCTGCGTGCATGGAACTCTAGCTTGCAGCACCTACACTTAGAAACACCATTACCACCCCTTCCACTGGCAGCCCAAACTTCTTCAGAGCGGTTCACTCTGGCTTCTCGTCTGACAAGTGAGCCGTCCCTCCCAGGGTCTTGTCAGCCCAGAGGGAACAGTGTCTACCCTGTGCAGCCTGTGGAGCTGAGGAGGTCTGCAGGCATTCCTTAGCTGTGAACGGGAAGTTCCCATGGATGCCAAGTTACCTTCTTCCTGAGCTGAGGGGAGGAGAGGACTGCTGAGGGGTGAGGGGACTTTCAGGGACACACTGGAGTGGGAAGGGTGACAGAGTCAGGGTTTAACAGAAAAGACGAGGAAAACTACCGCAAAGCCAGTGCGAGCTGGAACGAGGCTGCCTTTCCCTCCATTAGCCATTCGAGAAGGCCGAACTGAGCCTGTCTTCCCTGGGGGTTCCCAGCTCACCCACCACCCGCAGTGCTAACACAGTTACAGTCAGACAACTGACTGCAAAATGGACCTTCTCCCTCGGCATAGTGACTCTGTGGACTCCAAGGCAGAGCTGCGCAACTTACTGACAAAAACGGACTGTTTTTTTTTTTTCTTGCTATTGGCACCAGCAATCCAATGGTCAGAGAAACAGATCCTTCTTGGCCACGCACATCGTCAGCACAACTGTCAGGGAGATGCCCCTTCCTGGGTCCTTCGAGAGCCAGCGATGTGATGGGCTGACCCCATGCCCAGGACCGGAAGTTAGCAACATCGGCTCTTCATTTGTAAGCACCACAAATGGGGGTGGCAGTGGGGGCAGAGGGCAGCCCCTCTCAATCTCGCTTACTGACTGCACGCTGGTGTCGTCCGTGACCATCACTTTTGAGGTTGTAATTGTGAGGTAAAGTCAAAGTGCTAACAGTAACGGAAGAGGCTCACCAGCGTGCCAGGGGGCTCTCCACGAAGGGCGAGCACTGGCCAGGCCTCGTCAGCGTGGTTTCAGAAGACAGTAGTCTGAACAGACATACCATGTGTCATTGTGGAGCCTACAGAATTCAGGGTACAGTGCCCAGGTGCAGTAAAATAGAGGGCTCAAGGCCCTGCCAAGTGTCCTGAGGATGGTTAAAACAGAACAGACTGTAGGATGTAAAGCAAGCCCTGTTCTGGGATGAGGTTCAGAATCCACATCCTGTCATTGACCTTGTGTGGGACACCCCATCCCTTAGTCTCTCAAATTCACATTAGCAGGTTACTGTTGGGGATGAGCAGACAAAGCACAAGCCCGGGGCAGAAGAGTTTAGTGACTACTAGGTGTGGTGATGATGGCCAGGACCAGGGGAGGACCAAGCATGCAGCTTGTGGGTCTCAGGAGTATCTATACTCCTGCAGCAAACTCCAGGTCTGCTTAGGCCATAACACTATGACTACAGGGGTGATGTGACTCTGATGCTCCGGGAGAGTCCCCGCTCCTGTGAAGGGCACACTCAGGTCTCACAGCAGTGAGAACACTTGTGCCACGTGCATGCCAGTTGGGTGCAGGGGACAGAAAAGGGCAGGGACGGTCACCTGTGTGCTTGGTGCCAATGTGATTCTTTATCTCTGCTTCCTCCATGGTGACAAAGTCACAGGCCGTGCAGCAAATGGAAAACATCCACTGCTCCTTGTCCACGTGGAGGGACATGTGGCTTACAAACTGGACATTGAGCTCCGTCTCAAATCCACACACATGGCAACTAAAACAAGGAAGGAAAGGGGGGGTGAGACAGGCTTTTAAACACAGGCTGCTCAGTTACACGCAGTGCACACGAGAACACTAGCTTCATGTGTGTTCATTATAGCAAAAGGTACAGCATCAGGAAATTCCTCTGCCTGCTCGGATGCTTCTGGAGTGGTCACTGTGCCAAACAGATTAGATGCCAGCATAATACAGCAATCCCATACATGCTATAATGATGCTAAATAGTCATAAAGTTAATTAAAAACTACAGATTCCAGATGCTGCACAAGGCCTAACAGGCTCCTCTGGGCTGTGTTGCCAAGGTATTCAGTGGTGGCCCACTGGCGGATCAGACTGTTGCACCTCTGTCTCCCTTTGGCTCTAGAACCCTTGGGTACAGCGAGGAGAGCAAACAGATCTTTCCGTGGCACTCTGAGCAAGAGGCAGTCACATGACATCTCCCAGGAGATGCCGCACATCCACTTAGATGCCTTGCAGGGCAACTTTCTGCCAATATCACTAGGGCAAGATTTGAAAGACTCAGGGGCTTCATGCTGATTCAAGGCTGAACACAGAATGTAGTGTGTCATAATGGGCAACCAGGGGACAGCACACTGGGCCATCTGAGCAACTGCATGGGAGTTCTCTCTCAGACCACCTTTTTGTGTGTTTTTCCCTGTTCTTCTTAGGTTGTAGCAAGGTACTCAGCCACCAAGTGCAGAGCCGCACCACAGCTAAGAGCCAATCATCCAGAGCCCTGGTCTCTTTCTGGAGCCCTGTCTTAAAGACCCATCCCTCAGACCACTTCTCTTTCTATCAATTTTATTGGAGCCACCCGGGCTACACAGGAATCCGTGCAAAGGCAGGGTTAATCTAAGCAAAGGACATATTAGAGTGAGGTGAGCATCTGCCTGAGGGACGGGGCTCTGGGCAGGCAGAGAGGGAGTGTCAGCGCCAGGGTCTAAGACACTTGGGCGAGCCGCTCTTGACTCACCTGTAATAGTAAGGGTGTTTCTTCCCGTCACTGCCTTCAGAGGTGACGGCGCTGACGATGTCCTCGGTGTCGGTACTCACCAGCTTCACAGAGTGTACGGTCAGGTGCTGGTTCAGATTTGCACGGCACTTAGCAGCATAGGGGCACAAATGGCATTTGTATTTTCTTTCCTCTGGGGGAGAAACCAAAACTGCTCTCAAAAAAGAAAAAAAATTCAAGAGCTCACTCAGAGGAACCAATAAAAGTCGGTCCAAGTCTCCCTTCACGTGGGGACAAAGGTCATGCCTTGCAAGGGTCCCTAAGTGTATCCCTAGCAGTTTGCTCCTGTATCAACACTCAACTCACAAGGATTGAAAAGGCTCTCTCTAGGCAGCAGGACAAGACTTTGAGGCTGAAGTGTGGGTTTTATGGTGTCCAAACCAAACCTGATCCAAGGGAGGTTCTGGAAGCCAAAAGCAGCACAGTAGCAACAGCTGCATGACTGTGCAATGGCCACAAGACTGCACCGCTGCATGACTGTGCAACGCTGCATGATTGCAATGGCCGCAAGACTGCAATGCTGCATGACTGCAACAACTGCAAGACTGCAACGGCTGCATGGCTGCAACGCTGCATGATGACCCAACCCAGAGCAGTGTGCCACGCTTGGAGCTGTTTCCTCAGAGTTCTCAGATTTATCTGTCTTGGAACCTCGTCCTCCATCCCTCCTCTTCATGACAAGGTGTGTCTGCTGTGTGAGTGTGCACATGAGTGTGTCCCATGTGTCACTCTTGGGCAGGCACTAAGATGGAGAGAGCTAAGGAAATAAACCCTGATAGAACAGGAGCCTAAGAGGTCTATCACTTCCCCTCAGCTCCAGGCCCCGGCCAGCCAAGGAAGAAAAAAACTAATGAAATTAAAGGGAGAAAATGACTTGTATAAAATAATTTAATTGGAAATTTTCATTTTACGTAAATAAAATTGAAAAATCTCAATTAATTTGTTAATGGAAATTGGCTCATAAAGCTGCCTAAGGTTTCAGGAGCGCTTCCAGAGCGGCGTTCTGAATTCATTTGATTAATCACAGGAATTGTTAAGTCCACGGAGCAGCCCTGCTTCCCTGTTAGAAGATTACAAACTCACTTCCTATCCCAATGTCTGGGCTTGGCTTGAAGACACTCGTCTCGTTTCCTTCCCCAGGAAGAATGTGGGGTAAAAAGTATTCCCATCACAAAATGCAAGATACCACGTTCTGTCACGGTGCCGCCCTCCACCCCACTCTGACAGTGGCAGGCTCAAGGCTGGCCCTGACATGTGGGGAACACGTCTTAAGAGTTTCCACCTTGGTGTTGAGAGATGAGGACCTGGGTTCAGCACTCAGGTTCGCTTCCTCGAGGGGGGGAGGTCCCTCGAAGGGCCAGTTACACTGGGATTTCCTCTTCTCAGGTGTAAGGACTACCTGGGAAAATCTGCCTACTATCTTTATTAACAGTATTTCTTCATCAGCTTTCCAAATTTCCCTTCAAGTTCTTGTCTCAGTGCTATTTTGGTAATTTTGCTTAATTATCTATCAGCTAACTTCTATGCTGAAGAAAAAAAAAACCATGAGATGCCTTATTCCCCAATAATTCTCTCTTTCTCTGAAACACATCTGCCTCTGCCTCCCAAGTGCTGGGATTAAAGACATGGGCCACCACACCCGCCTCCAAAATTCTCCAGTGTCCTCTGTGGTTAGCTTTCCCTTTCTTCCCCAGAGCATACCTGCTTCCCTTAAGCAGGCATCAGGGAAGTTGTCTGGATTTAAGTGCTCTTTACTGACTCCTCAAGATGAGTGGCAAGTTCCTTTATTTTTTCTTACGATTTAGTTTCTGTGCATTGGTGTTTTGCCTGCATGTACATCTATGTGAGTGTGTGGGATCTGGACTTACAGACAGTTGTTGGTGCTGGGAATTGAACCCGGGTCCTCTGGGATAGCAACCAGTGCTCTTAATCCCTGAGCCGTTTCCACCCCCCTTTATTTTTCTATGGCTTTTGTGCTGACTTGAGCTATATCTATCTTAGGTGAAGGGATAAAGTGTTCTCATTCCTTTTAGATATCTGATACTTGCATTTTCTTTTTCTTCCCTTTTGAAAATTGATCCTAATTAAGTAGGGAATTTTACTCCTCCTCAGTTACTTGGTTACTTAAAATTTCATTTAAGTATGTTTAAAGAACAAGGCCTTAAAATCCCCACTTCTTAAAAACACGTTATCGTTTCTGTCTAACGTATGACGAAAATTTGAATTTAGTGGATTTAAAAAGATAAAAAGGTCAAAATTAATTTGTCCTATTAATATTGTCTCTGCATTTAGTTTTGCATAATTGTACAAAAAAAATCTTACTTTGAATCTTTATGTTTTTCTTTTTTTTAGATAGGGTTTGTACTCCATGCTGAGCTCAAACTACAGATGCTCCTGCCTCAGCCTCCCAAATGCTGATATTACAGGCATGTTTCAGGATACCTGGCTCTATCGTATTGATAGCTCTGATATTACAGGTGTGTTTCAGGATACCTGGCTCTATCGTATTGATAGCTCTGATATTACAGGCGTGTTTCAGCATACCCGGCTCTATCGTATTGATAGCTCTGATATTACAGGCGTGTTTCAGTATACCCGGCTCTATCATATTGATAGCTCTGATATTACAGGCGTGTTTCAGCATACCTGGCCATATCATACTGGTATATCATCTGGATGTCTTTAAAGTCTGACTTAATGTCAGGCTTTCAAAACAGCTGACTGTACTTCCTTCAGTGCTGAGGACTGACTGCTGGCCTCACATGCGCTCTACCGCTGAGCCATACTTGAGGCCCGTCACCTGCACCTTCGGAATCTTACTGATGAGGTCACCTGACCTTTTCTGCCGTCACTTGCTTTTGTTGATTATGCTACTGTTTGTTCTTTCTTTGCTTCTTGTTAATTGGTTGCCCTCCTCGTCCTGACCCTTAGAACCGACATTTGCTGTCCATTGTTACAGGTAAACAAAGACAGAAACTATCTCTCCACCACCACAGTGCCCCCCACCCCCACCCCGTGCCTGCCACCGTGAGATGAACCAGAGGAGTGTCTCCTAAGCTCTCACACACCCTGGCTGTGAACAGCTATTCTTACATAATCCTATATCACTTAGCACTCACACTTAAATCTATATTAGCACTCACACTCAAATCTAAATTAAAATCTCTTAATAAAAAGAAGTGGAAACTAAGCAGGTGGGGTTCAGCCCCAGCCTCGGAACCTTTAAGAGGCTATGAATCCATTCTTCATAGAGTTCGGGAGTTGACCTGGAGGTACTTAAATGTCTATCTGTTCTCATTAGTTCCTCTGGGAATCCAACGAGGCTTTTCAATATAGAGAAGGATTCCAGGGTCTCGTTTACACGTAACAGGCAGCACGGCCCGTGCCGGTCAGAACCGGCTAACTTTCTATCACTTCCTGTAGCGATTCGGGGTCTGGGAGGGGCCGTGGCGCGCTTGGCAGCTGTGGTCCCCACTCACCTGTGTGCAGCGAGAGGTGCCGAGTCAGGGTCTGCTGTCGGCCGAAAACTTTCCCACACACATCGCACGGAAAGAGCTGGTCATTGAACTTCCAGGAGGGCAATCCATTTCCTGCCTCAAGGACTATCTTCTCTGTCTCTGGGTGGAGAGAACAAGGCATTGTGAGGAACACAGGGCAAAAGAAATGGATGGCATTTTAGCCAACTACGAAGATGTGTTCAGAGGCTTCCCCACTAACAAGAACCAGTGGCCATCCTCATCCTCATCCCCATCAACGAAGGCTACTGGTGGGGCCCCAATGGCAAAGGGGTCCACAACCCAACAGCCGTTGGGTCTTCGGTGGTTCCTCTTACTGGTAAAGGCCAGTGTACACACACACACACACACACACACACACACACACACACACACCTGACAGCACTCTCTTCTCTACACAGAAGGTACTCAATAAACACTTGGGTGGGTGAGAGCTGCATGATAACTTTCTAGAAATGTAGACACCTACTACGAAACAGTAAACAAAACATTTGAGAGGCCAGGTTCCAATATGAAAATAAATAGTTCCATGTCTAGAGAGAAAATATTCCACTGCTCTTTATAAAGAAAAGCTTTGCTGCCAAGTTCTGAGTTGTGCAGTCTTTAGCCAGGAGCGCATGTCAAGCCGACTCAGGGACGAGCACCACACGGTGCTCCACGCCTCCTGTCTCACCTGGGAAAACAGTGCTCCACGAGCAATCCAGATGCAGCCTTGAATGGAGTTAGCACACTTCAACATGTTCTCTTTCCAACTTAGAAAACTTTTATTTCCCATCATCGTCAATAGAATTTCCTTTTATTTCTGACCTGTGCCTCTTCTCAATGAACCACACTAGACTACACAAACATCTCATCTGAAGCCCTGTAAGAAGGCAGGTGACAGAGAGGGATGCCCGGAAGAGTGGCGTGGACACTTCCAGGGGACTGCTGTCAGTCAGCCAGTGTTTGTCCTTGACCTGACGGAGTTACTGTGGCCTTCCTGAAGCACGGCGCTACATTACAGAATGGAGTGCACATGGGGAAAATTAAATGTCACCAGGAACTTTTCCTAAGATCCAAGCAGAAGGAAGTGTCCCGAGTGCCGCTTGGAGAACACGGCAAAACCAAGTGCTTGATTTCACACAATTAGACTAAACCGTTTCCAGATACAAGTTTCTGCCCGTGTTCGGAGAAGTCAACTGGGTCAATGCACATTTGAATGAGGCTTTGCCCGGCAGTGTACTCTGAGGAAAGAAGAAACAAATGCTGCAGACTGGGAAGGGAGAGCAGGGAGAAGCCGTGGGGAAACTGGGATAATGTTTGCTGCGCAGTCCTCGCCAGCAATCCAGCCCTGATAAACACATCTATTGATTGATCTGTGTTTGTTAAAACACAGCTCTCAAGGCCTCAGGGAGAAGAAGCTAGTTTGTGTCAGGCAGGAATGCCTGACTAAGACTGTCCATAGAGCACGGGGTGAAAGGGCGTAGGGGATGGTGGGAAGGGGAAGAGAGGAGTCAGCCAGACATCTAGAGACAAGGACCACTCCTGGGTGACTGTCCTCAAGCCTGAGTGTGGGTATTTTAGCCACATAGAGATGGGAATGGTATTTCAAGTAGTTCCTTCCAAGTGTGTAATCAAATAGTGCTTTCAGGAGAGCAATAATTATAATAATAGGTGGAGGTCAAGATGGCGCAGTGTCTTCCAATGCATCCACAATAAATGAATTAATTGTGCCACAGACCCAGCACGTAGGTGCAATTAACAATGAAGACGCCTCTTAATAATTCTTCTGAGTATTAGTCATGTACTTGAGAAGCTAAAGCATCATAAAGAATTCAGCTACTTCCACAGTCTTAGAAAGCTGTGGCAACTTTGAGGACCCAGACAACTAAGCAGAGAACACACCACACAGGCACACGAGGCACCCAACGTGCCCCAGCCCCAGCCCATCTGGGTCTTAACCCCCTGGTGTCTGCACCTATGCTACAGGGACTCAAGACTAGTCTTATTTTATAGTCAGATGAATGGGGACTTCTTAGCATTAACATATTGATTAGCACAATTAATTTAATAGCATAACAATTAAGGTCCACTGATAATTCAGAGCAAAAAGTAAGGCATATATGTCTGTAAGGCTAATCTTGGTTGTCACTTGGACATTCCTGGAAAGAGGTAGCCTCAATGGAAGAGCTAGCTCTATTAGAATGGCCTGTGGCATGTCTGTGGGACATTTACTTGATTACAAATTGACATAGGAGGGCTCAGCTCCCCCTGGAGTGGTACAATCCCTAGGCAGTGAGCTTGGGCTGTACAAGAAGGCTAACTGAACATTGAGAGCAAGCCAGTAAGCAATGCTTGTCCATGGCTTCTGCTTCAAGTTCCTTCCTTGAGTTCCTGCCTAAGCCCCTCTTGATGATAGACTGTAACCCGTAAACCAAATAAGCACCCCCCTCCCCAAGTTGCTTTTGGTCAGAGTGTTTATCACAGCAATAGAGAACAAATTAGAACAGTGTTTTAACTAAACTTGAGATGTACTCTCACGATTCTCTTAGTAGAAATGCTGGCAGTCCTAAGTCAAACTGAGAAGGTTTTACAGCCTCCCAGTCACACCACGTCCCAGGTCGATTCTGGCTGAGACAATCTCTCTGGCAGACAGGATTACTGTTAACCCGACAGTCATAGTCACAACAGTCCTTTCCTGCTGTCCTCTCCCACTATGGAGGCAACTGCTGTTGGTCATGAGTTAAGAGCACTGTCCATTGAAAAGGCTTTTGCTTTCCGGATGAAAAGAAGGATACGACTGGGTGTCAGTTTTCTCTCTTTCATGCTTTGATAGTAGAGGGAATACCAGGGGCGGTGGCAGCTCTTGTGTGAATATGAAGCATGAAGAAGCAAGCCAGCTTCCAAGCATGGAGGAAGAAGGTGAGGGAAAAAACAAAACAAACAAAGCGGGCTTTGCTGTCACTGCTCAGTGGCCACGTGAAGCCAGGAGTCATTTACCACTGGATTTCTTGTTTGGTGAAGAAAATAAGGCACTGGATTTTTTAAAATTACTCATGTCATTCTTAACTGAAACCCTCTTTCACGCTCGCCCCCAGCTGCAGCATCCCTGAAGGGCACTTCATCTTCTCTCTTGACAGCAGCAAGTGTGAAGCTGGAGTAGCACATTCCCATCTTAATTATCTTTGGTTCTGCTTTAAAAGCCTTACAAGCCCCCCCCTTTTTAGATTAGTAAGGGAATTTACTTTAATTTTTTAACTGAAGCACAACATGTACCCCAAATGGAAAAGCACGTACACCAGTAACTGCACCTCAATTAGTCTCAAAGTCTCCAGACAGTTCAAACTATGGGTGTTATTTAAAAACTCCGGCTTCCTTCTTTACCCCCAGACCCCCTGGCGTTTGCTTCATTATTTTAAGTAGCAGCACAGTTATGATCTTTTTCTTTTCTTTTAGAGCAAAACTCCAGTCTAATGACAAATTCTTTCTTGCCCAGTTTCATAGGATTTTATCTCGGGCAAAAACATTTTATTTCTTTTCAGACATTTTTATTCTGATTTCTAGAATACCCTCAAATCGCTCTGTAGACTCCTGGCTACTTGGTACAATGCAGTCTCAGGCTTTCCTCTGTAACCGTTCACCTGTAGTCTTGGCCTTGAACATCACTTAGGGCTTTTTCATGTCCTTAATTAAGGCTTCTGTTTTGTTTTGTATGGTGGATGGCATGCAGCCCCTCACACATGCCAAGCTGTATCACTGAGCTGCACCCCCAGATAGGTTTTTATTTTCAGTGATGCAAACAGATGTACAGGCACAAGTATTTTTGTCTCTGCAGTGTGGCTGTGGCTGTGCAGTGTCAGTGAGATGTCCCCAGCCATCGCTACACAGTGACTTGAGGCCCCCTATTCATGATGATGAGGCCTCATTTTGCAAGATGCAATATGGCAAACTGTGCTTCTTAAGACCCACTGACCCAAAGGGATGTGTCTTATTTGATACACAGGTCATGGGCATGGGATGATCAAACCCAACAACTGTGTCTCCAAAACTGTAGACTGGGGCACAGAATATGGAGCAAGCTGAGGACCCACAGAGCCTCAAACCCAACCCCTTCATACAAAAGGACCAAATGAATCATTAATTCCAAGATCTTTCCCAACCCGAGGTGCACTTCAAGTTGCCTATGGTCAAGAAGGGTTTCCATGGTAACCATGTTTCCACTCTACCTCAAACCTTCATTCAAGAAGGAACCTGAATTTTCATCTTGTTTAAGTCTCTTTTCTTAGATGAAAGAAAACCAAGGCCCAGAGAAAGCAAGTGACTTCCCTAGGCCGTCTTGTTAGTGGCTCAGAGAACCAGACTTCCCCATATCTCATCTTTGCTCCTCCAAGCCACAGGAAGCCAACTCAAAACCCTATAACAAACAAAAGGATTTTCTCCTCCCCCCGTTCCTTGGCTGTGCATTTAATATTCTTAGTTACAAGTGAACACATCCCAAGTTGGCAACAATTCAAACACTAGGATTTCTTCTACCTCCTTTCTTAAAAGGGCCAGCCTCGGATGTTCCAGGCACAGAGCATGAGGGCCTACAGCAAGCCATAAGTCAGCATCAAGGAGCATTGACAGGACAGTCAGATGGGTGCATCCTAAAAGTCAAGCCTTCTCTTCATGTCAAGTAAGTCATCCTGAAAAATCCCTTGGGCCTTTGGTTGCTACGCAGGGAGACTGTGGTAATAAACACATTTAAGGCATCATCACTCTCAAAACAAGGGGGATAAAGAGGAGGACTTGAGTTTGCCTCATTAAGTTCTTTGGCCTTCTGTCTGGAGCATGGCATGGCTTTGCTGGGGGAGAAAAGCTATGTTCTTTGACGGATTGACCCTCCCCAGAAACCATCACTCCACCTGATTGGGCAAGAGAAATGCTGGGAGAAGGGGGCTGTATATGGACAAAGCTGGACAACATGAGCTCAGTTCATAAATAACTGTTCACATCAGCCAAAGCCAGACTGGCTGGCTCATCTCTGGAGAACAGGGTCTGGGGCCACCTGTGTTTTCTTTCCATCCTGACACATGGAGTCTCGATCAGTTCAGCTGAAAAGTTTTGAGACATAACTCAAAAGT